AGGGAAGAGGGGGAGGGGACCCCTTGGACAGGGGGGCTGTGGGGGAGGGGCGTGGGCTGAGGGGACCCCAGGGGAGCATGGAGGGGTCCCGCGTGTCCCTTGGGAGGGGACGGGATGTCCCCATGGGGGGGTCTTGGTGTCCCCAGGGAGAGGGGTCCCCTGTGTCCTGTGTGTCCCCAAGGGGAGGGGTCCCTCGTGTCCCCAGGGGGGGTCCTGGTGTCCCCAGGGAGAAGGATCCCACGTGTCCCCAGGGAGAGGGGTCCTACCTGTCCCCCGGGGGATGTCCCCACGGGAGACCCGAGTGTCCCCAGGGAGAGGGTCCTATCTTTCCCCCAAAGTGAGGGTCCTGCGTGTCCCGTGGGGGGTCCAGCGTGTCCCCAGCTGTGCCCCCCCTCCCGGGTCCTGATGCCACCACCGTCCCCCTCCCCTGGCCAGGTGATGTTCTGCACCCTCAACACCCACAAGGTGGACATGGAGAAGCTGCTGGGCGGGCAGATCGGCCTGGAGGACTTCATCTTCGCCCACACCAAGGGCCAGCGCAAGGAGGTCGAGGTCTTCAAGTCAGAGGAGGCCTTGGGTCTCACCATCACCGACAACGGCGCCGGCTACGCCTTCATCAAGGTGACCCCCCCGGGGGGATGCTGTCACACGCCCGGGAAAGCTGGGGGTGCTGGGTGTGGGCCCGGAGCCATCCCGGGGCTGAGGGGGACACGGGGACATCCCGGGTGGTGCCCAAGTCAACCTGGGGATGGGGAAGGAAGACACAAAGGGATGTCCTGGACCATCATGGGGACCCCCTGGGTGGTCCCGGAGCTGCTCTGGGGGTGGTGGGGGGCCATGGGGACATCTCTGAAGGTTCCCAAGTCAATGCAGGGATGGGGAAAGAAGATACAAAGGGACATCGTGGACCATCATGGGGACCCCCTGGGTGGTCCCTCTTTGGGACCAATCTCGGGGGGTTGGGGGGGTCCTGCTGCCTCCCCCAGGTTCTGGGCTCCTCAAACATCTCCAGGCTTGGGGGGGAGGGGGCTTGGTGTCCTCCCCCCTCCCCCACCCCAACTTGGGGGTCTGTGGGCGGTGGGGTGTCCTCAGCCCCCCATTTTAGAGCTTGGGGGGGGGTCTCTTGTGTCTTTGATGTCCTCAGTCCTTGATGACCACCCCTCTCACCCCCCTGCCCCCATCTTGGGGGTCTGAGGGTGGTGGGGTGTCCTCAGCCCCCCACTTTAGAATTTGGGGGGGTTCTTGGGATGTCCTTGGTGACACCACCCCACCACCCCCCCAATCTTGGGGGTTTGGGGGTGACCCTGACCTCCTGGGTTAAGGCTTTGGGGGTCCTGAGGTGGCCTCGCCCCCCCCACCTTGGAGCCCTGAGGGACCCAGGGTGTCCTCACCCCCCCCTTCCCCCCCCCAGCCAATTCTGGGGGTGGGGGGGGCCTCATCCCCCCATCTTAGACCTTGGGGAGGTCTGGGGTGTCCTTGGTGTCCCCCCTACCCCATCTTGGGGCTCCTGAGGTGTCCATGTCCCCCTGTCCCCCCTCATCTTGGGGTTCCTGATGTCCTTGTCCCCCCCCCCC